ATTACTCAACGCGTAGACCATGGAGCAGCAGCACGGGCACCCCCTGCACGTGGGCTAAGAAATGCAGAATCTCAGGGTGCCTGGCTGGCTCAGTCAGTTAAGCATCCGACTTCGGCTCAGGTCATGATCTCACACATCGTGAGTTCGAGCCTCACGTCCAGCTCTGTGCTGACAGAGCCTGGATCCTGCTTCACATTGTGTCTCCCTCTCTCTCTTCCCCTCCCCACTCATGCTCCGTCTCTCTCTCTCTCTCTCAAAAATAAATAAACATTAAAAAAATATTAAAGAAATGCAGAATTTCTGGGGCACCTGGGTGGCTCAGTCAGTTGACCATCTGACTCTTGATTTTGCCTCAAGTCGGGCTCCGTGCTGAGCATGGAGGCTGCTTAGGATTCTCTGTCTCCTCTCTCTCTCTCTCTCTCTTTCTCGCCCCCTCTCCCCCTCTGGCACTCTCTCTCTAAAAAAAAAAAAAAAAAATGCAGAATCTCAGGCACCATCTCAGACCCAGAGAGAGTCAGAATTTGCAATTTAGTGACATCCCCAGGTAATTAATTTATACATCGAAGTTTGAGAAGCACTACTCTAGCTGGACCACATGGAGCTTTATTTCGCAGAACATAATCTCTGGACAGTTACAGAGCGGGGAAGAGACATCTCTGTGGTAGGATCAGAAAGCCTTTGGGGCACCTGGGTGGCTCAGTCGGTTAAGTGTCCGACTTCGGCTCAGGACATGATCTCACGGTCCGTGAGTTCGAGCCCCACATCGGGCTCTGTGCTAACAGCTCAGAGCCTGGAGCCTCCTTCAGATTCTGTGCCTCCCTCTCTCTCTGACCCTCCCCCGTTCATGCTCTGTCTCTGTCTCAAAAATAAATAAACATTAAAAAAAAAAAAAAGAAAAGAAAGCCTTCACCCTTCCAGTCATCGCTGTGAGACCTCAGGAAAAGTGGTTTTCTCCTTCTGAGTCTTGGTGTCTGCATCTGTGAAATTGAACCATAAGCCCCGTTTGCCTACTTCACATGTCCGCTTCGAGGGGCGGCAAGATAACGAATGTGAAAGTGGACTACCCTTTTTTGCTGACAACCACCTGATGCTTTTCTCTTTCAAAGTGCTCTTGTTGAAAATGAGACCCCGAGATGTGACCACAGCCCCCCAACATTGGCTCTGGCGGGCGACGGCCAGTGGAGACAGTCAGCAAAGCTTCAGGGGGATGCTTCCCTCCCAGAGACAAACTGCCGGCGGGATGGGCACAGACACAACAGAGCCCAGAAAAAACTACACAGGAGCCTGAGAACCAGTCCATCTGAGAATACCCAGATGTCTAGGGGGGATGCAGAGTCTAAGAAAGCGCCAGGCCTGCCCTCAAGCTGCCTACAGACTTGCAGGGATTTGAACCTTTCCATAGGAGACCTTCAAAGGATGTTCTGATGTACAAACCCAGCTTGCAGGGTCTCTTCTTGGGGTAGACAGAAGCACGCAGAGGTGACGTACGCAGGCTTGGGAAAGACACAGAGAAACGTGGTTTAAACCCCAGCCCTGTCTCTCGGTAACTGGGATCCCGGGAAAAATCACATCACCTCCCGTGAGACTTGGCGTCCTCACGCGGCAAATGGAGACGCTGGTAACACTGCCCCGAGGGCTGTTGTGAAGAACGATCAGGCCGGAAGTAAACATGCCAAACAGGTGTATCCTCCCCTTCACTGTCACAGCCCTCATTTTATTTTCTCCATAGGACTTAAAACCACTCGTTTTATTTGTGCATTCTCTGCCTCTCTCACTAAAATTTCAAATCCCTGAAAGCGGAAACTGAATGTCTTGTTCACCGTGGTATTTTCAGCACCTAGAACAGTGACTCGCACAAAGGAAGTGTTTAATAAGAGCCCGTTGAATGAACAAATATTAACACTCCTTCTGCCCAGATATAGATCTTTCTGGAGCTAATTTAGATGTTCATGTCTGCAATTAGAGTTACAAGTCCCAGTGCTGTGTCCTGGTAGTCACGTCTTACACTCCGAACCAGGGTTGGTCTTGTGACTAGCAGCATATTGCAGAAGGGATGATACATCACTTCCAAGATTAGGTTACAATAGACTGCAGGTTCCACTTTTTCTCTGTCACTCTCTTGCTTCTGGATCACTTGCTATGGGGGGAAGTCATGTCAGGAACAGGAGACGTGAGACACTCTCGTGGTGAGGACTGGAGTCTCCTGCCAACACCCACATAAGTGAGCTTGGAGTGGGTTCGTGGACCCATCCCAGCCTTCAGACACTGCAGCCCCAGCTTGACCGCAACGTCGTGTGAGACCCTGAGCAGGAACCCGGCAAAGCCACAGCCAGCCCCTGGCACTCGGAAACTGTAAGAGATAATAAATGGTTGTTGTTCTAAACTACTAAGTTTGGGGGTAATTTGTTACACAGTAATACATAACTAACACATCCCTACTGAATGGCCTCCAGATCCATGGCTAGAGGAAAGAGATGACTGCATCCCTCCCCACCCCCAGGAGCAGGTAAAGCAGAAGCAGGCCAAGATGCTGAGTTATAGGCAAACATGCCTTTAGGAGGATTTCCGTCTTTCCTTTGAAAAAAAGAACGGCTTCCGTGAGTCTGGCATTGCCCTCAAGCACTTTGTCAAGCTCATTTCCTGCTACAAAAGTGAATTTGGCTGCAGCAACCAGGTAGTAGACCATATTGTCCACATGGTATCCAAGGAGTAAAAGCTCCCTGGACCACCAGCCTCCATGAGAGCATGAGAGCAACAGAGAGGTCCTCAGCTGCTGGGGAGTCCTTGCCTCCATGCCTCCTCCAGCACTCTGAGAATCTCCCCATGTTGACAGTTTCCATCCCAGATGCCCTGGGATGTTCCATCAATAAAGTACATCAAACCCAATGAAAGAGAAGGAAGGAAAGAAAGAAAGAAAGAAAGAAAGAAAGAAAGAAAGAAAGAAGAAAGGTGAGAGGGAGGGAAGGAAGGAAGGAAGGAAGGAAGGAAGGAAGAGACAGAGGAAGGAAGAGAGGGAGGAAGGGAGGGAGGGACGGAGGGACGGATGAAGAAAGAAAGGAGGAGAAAGAGGAAAGAAAACAGCATCTGCAGACTCCACATTTGACATGGAAGGTCATACTGGGCCATAGGGGTTCCCTCTGGGCAGAGATCGCACAGGCCCAGTGGATGTTGGAAAGGGGTCATCCCTCACTGATCCTTAATACTTTTTGTCATCTGGCATTCTGCTTTTAACACTCTACCAAACACAGCTGAGACCTTATTACAACAGTGAAACAAAAGTTTCCCAAAGCCTTTGGGGAAAACACACACACACACACACACACACACACACACACACACAATACACACCACCACCCATTGAGAAAATTTGGTGGATAAAGAAAGGCATATTTATCCTGACACTGTGAGAAGTGCTTCCTTCTTACCTTCCCATCTACCTCTTTGTACCCACCAGAACCCAGGACTTTAGAGCCCCTGGTAGAAATCTCAGTTCCTCAAAGTTATCATTGAGCACAGACTCTCCAAGTCCTATCTCCAGCCTACTTACGCATCTATTTGTACGTGCCCACTACTTCTCTCATTCTTCAACACTGGGAACAGCTAATCCATAAGGCAGGACTTGCATCCACAGGCTGTAGCTTACGGATAGATATCATCCGTCCTTGGAAACCGTATCTTCTTACCGTGCTCTTGAGGGCTGCCTCCTTATGGTAACACAGGGTGGGCCGTATCCGCCCACAGCCCCTACTTCAGCCATCTCCCTTCTGTAGACACAAGCCCTCACCTATGTCCTAGGCTTCTCTTCCACCTTTCAGCAAATAGAAAGGCCAAAGAATGATTGATGCTCCTGATCACAAAGCCGATGGCCAAAACAGTGCTGGAATTATTTCCAGGCTGTCTCATTGCTCATCACATAGTTGCTGGCATCTCCCAATAATATCTGTATTGTATGCTCTGTCCCATGACTGTGCAACCATAGGACCGGGACCTCAGAGGCTGTCTAGTCTAGCCACCCACTCAGTGCTGGAACCCCACCCCCCCACAAAGGCTTCTTGGACTTTCCCAGTGACAAGATGCCAACTGTTTCCCAGGGCCACTGTTCCCATCATAGGATACCTCTAACATTAATCAGCTCCAGCTCATACTGAGCTAAAAGTAGCACCCCACCTAACACATGCACCTGATATCTTTCAATATTGGGTGAGTCTCTGGTCCCACGTGACATATCTTCTCCCTCTGCTCCATGACATTTCATCAAAGATGTGATGAGAGTCATTGTGTTGCAACTACGTCCTTTGTTCCCCAACCCGTCCTGTATGACATCGTCTCGAGGGTTTTCACTACGTTATTCATTTTTAACCTATTCTACCCTGAAAATAGTCCTTGTAATGTGGCAAATCTGGACCTGCACATCATCCTCCGGGCAACATCTTGTCAGTGGGAAATAAGGCTGGACTCACTTCCTCTTAAGTTATCACTGTAATTTTACGCTTCTAACCCAAGTGGACACCAACTTATTTAGAAACTACATCATCCTGTTGGTTCACAAGAATCTCGTGGTACAAATAAAACAAACCTCTCTGGCTCCTTTTCTCATAAACTCTTATTAATCCAGGCACCACTGCCGGGGGGGGGCCCCCCCCAACCTTAAAAAACTCCACGTACGCACCTGGCTAAGGACCATATGCTTGTCGATGTCAAGTTTCACTTCATTGATTCGAGCCCATAACGCCAGTTTCAAGAATTTTTTTTTTCATGAAATATTTCAGACACATGAAAAAAAGTATAGAGAATCTAATATCCACCATCTACTCCCAATCCTGCTTAAGGAAGAAAAGCATTGAGGTCTAATGGAGCTCCCCATGCACCGTTCCCCTCTCTCTTTCCTCAAACAAGCTACCATTTTGAACAAGGTGCTTATCCTCCCAATGCATTTCTTTACGTATTTATCAGGTTGTTTGTGTGTTTTGAAACCTCATATGAATCACTTCAGATCCTACCTGTATCTCTGAGACGTACTTTTCTTCACTCGGAATTGTATTTTTGATATTTAATCATGTTGATACATGTAGCTGCACTTTATTCATGGGGCCAAAGTCTGGAGAAGCAGTCTGGTTTCAAGCTGATGACCATCAAGGCTTGTTTCCAAATTCCTCCGTTACGAAAATACTGTCAAGAGCATTAGTATGCACGTTCCCCTCTGCATGTGTACAAGGGTATCTCCACTTATTTGCCAAAGAGGAGAATGGTTGGCCCACTAACTGTGAGCATCTTCTGATATATAGACACTCCAGCTGGTTTCCCGAAGTGATGGCAGTGTGGGGGAGGTGCCATGGCTCCACAGTCTCACCCAAGGTCAGCAGGCACCAGGCTCGATTATCAGCCAACCTAATGGGCATGAAAACGTTCCTCATTATTGTTTGACTTCTCATTTCCCTGTCATTTGTCTTGAGTCTTTAGCTTGTTAGCTGTCAGTCCCACCTCCCCTATTCATGAGGTACATTAATTGGAATGCTTTCGAACCCAAATAATGAAAGAGTCTACTAGAAGCAGCTTAAACGTTCTAAGAAGCCTGGAGATAAAGTGCTTCTAGATTCGGTCAGTGTAGTGGCACTAGGATCATATGCTTCACTTTTCTCTCCCACCTTCAGCTTTGGTCCTTGTCTGTCTCGTGGCGACAAGGTCGCTGCCCCACTGAGTTCATACCACTGCATCCGAAGGCAGGTGGGCAATTCCTCTTCCTCCGGCTCTTTTTGTCAGTGAGGGACACCCTTTCCCGAAGCCTCCTGAACAGATGTCCCTGATTTTCCTTCATACCATATTGGTTGGGATTGCTCTACGTACCCATGACTAAAGCGATAACAAGAAGGGAATAGAATTTCCACGGTCAGTTTAGACTAATCAACATTCACCCATGGGGACAGAAAGACTCCCCTGCCCCTAAGCACGTGGGACAATAAACTCCTTCCCCCACCACCACCAAAATTGGAACTCTTCTAACAGTAAAGAAGACTGGGGATAATGGCTGTCCAGTGGCAAGGTAAGTGCCCATCACAATGGAGAAATGAAGTCCTTTAAGGCTGAATTCTAGAAACCGAATTCCACGGTCATCCTGACCCTCCACATCAGCCACAGGGGGTCTCTGCGCACAGGGGGGTTCTGGCTAGGACTCCCATGCTGAGGTGAGGAACCCCCTCACACCCACACAGACACTTTCAAGTGCACTGACTGGAGTCGGAGGGGAAACTGAGGCAGGAGAATCATGACCCTGTACTAGGAATCATGACAGTTTCCCTTGGCCCCTCATTCCTTCCCTTGTTCCTATTTCTTGAGACTCCCCATAAATCAAAAATGCAGGAATGGAAAATTCACTTTAAAAAAAATAAAAAAAGTCTGCCTCCAATCCAGCATTCAGGAGGAAAGGAAAGTCGATGTCATTTGAGGGGTCGAGGGGAGGGGGGAGGGTGATGGGGGGGGAGGAGAGCGTGTCTGAGGCTGCTGGCTGCACAGGTCAGGGAGGAGAGGTAAGTGGGGCCTCTGAGGTGAGTGGACAGAGCAGGGAAGCGGCCCCCCTAGAGCCCTGGCTTATAGCGTCAGCCCTTAGCCTTGTCCTCTCTCCTGAAGCCCTTGGGGACAGTGGATCCTCTGTAAACAGAGTGATAAGGCCCGGAGCCCTCTCGTAACTTGGGAAGGTGAAGTGTGGCGGTCCTATGGTCTAGTCTCCCAGTTGGAAGTGACGGTTGTGAGTTACCCTGGACTTCAGCAGCACCCCCTCATCGGGCCAGTGTCCGCAGGTGCCCCTGGGGACCTGCCAGCTGGGCTAACATGACTGTCTGCCAGCCAGGCCACCCCAGGTGCAATAGAACAGGCACCAAGCCCATGTGACCCAGACAGCGAGACGCCCCCGCGAGGCGGGAAGCTGAGAGCAAGGCCGAGAGGGGGCAGAAACATTTTCAGGGAAAATAAAACAGGACTCAAATTTTTAGAAGTAAGTCAGGTCTCGCAGAATGGGTGTCTTTGGAAGCAGCCCAGGGCTTGTGGCACATGCTTGTGGTGATGGCCCCGCAAAGCTAAGCAGGGTAGGGTGCAAGTTATCCTGGAGTCATCAAAGTGTAAGGTTTAAAAAATACTAGAAATCTCTCTGGTGAGGAAGCTGCTCTTATCAGGGCACATGCACCCCGGCAGTTTCTTTGCTGTGTAACTCATGAAATTTGTACTGCTCTTACTTTTTAAAGCTCCATGAGTCCTTCCGACCTCAATTTTCCCCCTCCTGTCTGTACCTACTGTTATATTTAAGGAATTTCTAGGGGCACCTGGGTGGCTCAGTCAGTTGAGTGACCGACTTTGGCTCAGGTCATGATCACTCACTTCCTGAGTTCGAGCCCTGCGTCGAGCGCTGTGCTGACAGCTCAGAGCCTGGAGCTTGCTTTGGATTCTATGTCTCCCTCTCTCTCTCTCTCTCTCTCTCTCTCTCTCTGCCCCTCCCCCACTTGCGCACATGCTCAGGCACGCGCGCTCTCTCTCTCTCTCTCTCAAAAATAAACATTAAAATATTTTTAAAAGAATTTCCTAACTTTTTCCTGATTTTTTTCTCTTCACTTCATATTCCAAATCACCCCTGGAAACATAAGGGGTTCCAGTTTCCCATCCCAAGCCCCCATCTTATGCCTTTAAGGATATCCCTGCCTCATGCCAGCCCCTGTCTTTTCTTAGGATATAAATTGACAGAAATGTTGATTACTGTAGCCATCCAGCCAATTCTTTCCAAACTACGGCTATTTGCAATTTGCTTATGGTCTTTGAAGATGCGATTTTCTGATCCAGAACCTCAGATTGGTATTAAGCCCATTTTTTTTTTCAGAGCCCTTAAAACTATTAAGCTCGGTGTAGAAATAAAATCACCACTGATACCTCTGTCCTCTGAGACCAGAACCAGAGATCCTTCAAAACCGGCACCAGAGACCAAAAGTTTTCCTGGGTGCTGATTCATTACTCATCAGCCATATCAATGATTAAATATTTACGTGCCAAAGAGTCTGTGATTAAATATTAATTTCCAGCCAGTCTGCTATAAAATATTTAAGGGCTGGTGAGTCTGAAGTGTGCAGCTTTCAGCTCAGAGCAAGAAGGGCCCCGTCAAAGGCCGGATGCTGGATGATGAAGCAGGTGCATGAAGACGAGTTGATGAGAAAGTGTGCTGGCCCCAAGTGCACCTGGACGCCCGGCTACACAGAGCAGAGATTTTGCGCAGCCACGTGGGGTTGCTCTGTTTGCGAGTGATAATTCACCAACACAAACTTACCGTGTGCATTTTCAGAGGTGGCAACACTGAGGCCCAGAGAGGTGGAAGGAATCACCCTGGATTTCAGGGTCAGCAAGGAGCGACGTTAACTAACTTGTTCGCTTTTGAGCAAGAATTGTTTCCATTTCTGCCCCAGAAGGAAAGGACAAAGAGTGTTCGTACTGTCTTTGTATCGATAAGAAATCTTTTGCTCTCGTGTTTCAAATGGTGGGAAGTTAGTACAGGAAATCACTTACAAAGAAGGTAGAAGGACTGGAAGACGAAATAAGAAAGAGGTGCCATTGTTAGAATTAAGGGAATCAGAGGGTAACGCAGAGAGATCAGATGCTACTAGCACCTTACTGGGCCAAAGCCCGTTCCTGATGCTGAGTTACTAGACATGGTGGTTGGTTGGTTCCAGATGCACCAGAAAGGTGCCTTCTCAACTAGAGCTGCAGCTGCGGAGAAGGATGCTGACTCTTGCCAACGAGGGCTGGGACCTCCCTCAAGCAACCCGCCTTGGACAACTGCGGTTCCCTCGAGTCACTCAGGCCTTAGTTTCCTGCATTGTGCTCTGTCTGTGCCTGGCAGGCTTGTCTTTCAACAGAGATTTTCTTGTCTTTGTTCCTCATCGTTTCTTGCGCATTCCTTTTATCTCCCCAGCGAATAAAAGTCATAAAGAGAATAATTCATTTCACATATTTCACAGTTTATAAGGTATTTTTATATCCATTATCTCCATTGATCCCCAAAAGAACCTTGTAGACTGAAAGCCGGGGTAATTATTCCCATGACTGAAGGTTCGAGGCACAGGAAGTTTAAGTGACTTGCTCAAGGGTGCACAGCAGAGTACCTGCCGTATGGTAGATGCCTGAAAATGCCTGTTGAATAAATTAACAACTGAAAAACTGAATGGGCCTTTGTCATCATTCATAAAAACCAGGGATAGAAGAAGTATTAGTCGAGGTTCAACAGCAGAAAGACTTCGTTAGCAGAGAAACAGACGGGGTTGTTGAAGGGAGATGGAAACTGTGGGGAAAACGGTAGTTTCTCCACGTGGCTCCCAGAATCTACAGACAACTGCACTTCAGCCTATTTTAAGATTGGGCGGGAGGAAAATTTTAATTACAGGAACCCATGAACGCGGGCTATCGTCTCTAGAATCCCTGCCTCTTGCCCATCTCCCCCGTGCAGTCGTGACTTCTTCAGGTTTGGGGAGTGTCCGACTCAGCCCAGCTGCTCAGGGGATCCCACCACGTTTCTGATCGTCTATGTCCTATTGTCCTTGTCACCCCCTGTCACCCCCGTTTCCTACACCAAACTGTCCTTTCCTTACCCCGAGTATCCTAGGTGTCTCTCGCCCCCTCCGCAAACCGCCACCCCTCACTGTTGCGAAAACAGACAGAGCCTACTGGCCATATTTCCCCGATCCCTAATCCAGGGTGACATTCCAGGCAAACCACCACATCGCTCCCTTTCTTTCGCTGTTTAGGGCCTGCTTTATGCTGACTCCATTGCACTTGTTCTGAGACAAGGGGGAAGATGTGCAGTCTATTACCCTTATAAACCAGCTCCTTTCTTCCTCTCTCTGCCATTTAAAAGGGCCTTTCTATTTGACTGAACAAGAAAAGGAACTCTAAGAGGGGAATTAACATTGTCCCCATTATATTGTCCAATTAACACTTGTCCCGTCAAAGGCTGAGTAGGAAGCCGGGAGCCTTGGTCAATGAGAACTTTTAATCCCTCAGGTAAATGCAAAGTCGCATTGAACACGATCAAAGGGCAGATCTCAATATATTCTCTCCCCAAGCCCCTTCCCTCCCCCCTCATGCATAGGACTGTATGAGGCTGCTAAGTTCTGGTTTGAATGAGTCTCAACCTCCCTTTGTGGCCATGGTGGGTGAAAGTGTGGGGGATGGTTGATCAGACGTTTAAAAACTCACACTAAGGCTCTTAATTACATTCAACACAAAGACACCAACGCAGACATAGTGAAGTAACGATGACCCAACCATCTTCTTTTTTAAAAACCGATTTCCTCTCCGTAGGTACTAGGCCCGGCACCATTATTAACAAAGTAAATTATGCAAATAATTAATCCTTTAGA